AATACTACTTTAAAAGAAGTTCATCTTTCTCACAGCTACAATACTCGCTCTGCATCAAATAGACATCTTTCTTTGCCCCATGTAAAATTGAATTATGGTAAATTTGGCGTGAAATATGCAAGTGCGGTAAGCTGGAACGATGTGCCTTTTGAAATAAAAGCAAGCATTTTATTATTTCAATAATACTACTTATTTTGCTTAATTCTCAAACTATGCTTATTCACACTTTTGTAATTCTCTCTTCCACTACTCTTAACCATATTTTTTCTTGACTATAGGGTGTAACAAGCTTCTTCATTAACCCTTTGGGTTGTATTCCTGCACTCTACCACCATGATAATTTACCCTTATGTTATTTTATGTATTATTTTATATTGTTGTAAGTGGAAATTAAAAAACCTTGTAAGGCTTGAAAACCAGAAYAAAAGATGTGTTGTCCAACACAATAACCAATATATTCATCCAATAAATCTTCAAAGCCCTAGATAATCCTTCCTTTCTTGATTCAAAACAGCTTAATAAAACAGAAATAGAAAAAGTTGACTTAATTTGATTTCAAGATTCTCGAGAAAAACTTTTGTAACACATTTCGAGCAGAAAAATTAAATCCTAGTTTTGGGTTGTGCGAGGCCCACGAAATACATCATCGCGTAGTCGGGCCGAGTGAAGCTGTTTTGCTTTCATTGATTTTGTTGTCATTATAATTTCAAACTCTTTAGTTATGGCTTCAATGACGCTATTCTTTTCTTCAAAAATGTGTATTATATGCAAATCACTTGACACGTTTTCGTGTTAAATCAGAAGTAGTGTGGTTCGGAGTTTGCCATAAGCCGGATTGGTGTCGCTAAAAAAATACACAGAACACTGTGTTATAACAAATTCCAGTCCGTTCACAACGAGAATACATCAAAATCATTGATTTTCTAAAGAAATTTAGTGAAGGATAAAGAAAATTTGTAACTTTTGAAGTCGGTTACTGCAATTAATGTTTTGTGGTTATTTACAACTTGGTCAAGTCTACAMGGTGTRATGGATTTTGTAAGCCATGCATYTTGGTCAAYGAAGYCAAGTGCGAATCTACACTCAATGGAAGAGCCGCATGAAGACGCTGAACTATTCGCTTAGGTATTGAGAGACATCTGAAGCAGCTTGATTTGTAATTCTTAAGAAAAATATAATCTATACGACCAGAAATGTTGGTTCCAAATGATTAGACTGAGTAAACCTGTTATGAAACGAAATACGGCAAACGCATCATT